ATTTAAATTATTTTTATCATTTATTTTCATGACTTAAAATTTTTTTATCACTTATCTCCCTCACTTAGAGGGGTAAATGATAAAAAAATTTCAAGTCAGAAATATAAATAATTCAAAATTTTAGGAAAAAAATAAATGATTATGAGAAAAGTTATAAAGAAATTTTTGAAGTTTTCCCTAAATAAAATCCTAGTCTCGTTTTCTGTTAATGCTAAAAAATAATGCCGATAACGTCCCAAAAAAATAAAATATAATGCCGACCATAAATTAACCATACATCCAATTCGTTTAAGATTCATTTCTATAATTATACGCATCTTTTAGAGGTGATCTGCAATTTTATGGACTATCTCGGTTAAACCCGGGTTGAGTTGGAGTAATCTGAAAAAAATAAAAAATAAATCAAACTAATCAAAATAATGTTTTGTTTAAAAGCTGAATCAAAACGAACAAACTCAAACAAAATTAGGTTGATGGGAGTCATCAGCTTTTGCAATTATTATAAATTCTTTAAAAAAAAAAAAAATCTGCATTCTATGGGGAGTGTTGCACCGAATTTTCGTGGATCTTGTCGTCCTCTTCGGTCTTCAGCCTTCACATAGTGCCACATCGAAGTTCAACATCTGCACGTCGCCACATGCTGCTGCCGACGCTAGACGGGGTATGCTATTGCATGTCATCACTGAATTTTTGCTGCTGCACGCATTTAAAGTTTGAGAATATATAAATCCAAAAAGGAAAAACGTGTCTCAAGTTTGGGAATCGAAGGATGGCATCCGCTACGCATTACACTCCGTTTTGACATTTTTTTAAAAAGTATACATATGATACTATGCATTCTATTTAACAACTGACAATTGGATTCCATCGGATTTTATAGAATTCAATTTGATAAAATGAATTGACTTAAATAATTTATATATATATATATATATATATATATATGGATTTAGTGTATGTCATTCGAAATGACACAAATTGTGTCCTTTTAGTGATTTACACAGAGTACGACCGGTCGTACACTGTGTAATTATGAAAAGTTATTTTTTTCACTTTGCACGTCAGCAATGTGACTGGAAAGAGAAAAAAAAAAACTTTTCAGTTTTACACAAAATACGACACCTAAAATGACACAAGCTTGTGTCATTCAAAAGGATACTTCTTTTCTCCTATATATATATATATATATATATTGCAATTTTTTTTTCTATCAGACTAAGTGAGTAAGTCCCATAAATATTGTCTTTTTTTTATAATCAAATTCACACACTTTTATATAAATATGAAAACATGCTTATGTTGACTTAAATAACTTGAACATGTAGTGGAATCCCTTAAATATGTATCTTCAGTCATATTATTAAAATTGGAACGAACCGTATCAGTGCGCCTCAGGCAATTAATTGGTTCCGTAAATAAACTGGTTCAGAATTGCTAAATTTAATTTTTAACTTTTTTTTATATCCAAAATGAATTAATTTAATTTGAGCATTGACATATTCATATCCTGATGGTTCTTTCAATATTATTTTTTTCATTTACATAATTTGAAATTGAGACATGTAATTAAGAAAAATAAATTTATTATCACTTGAATTAATAATTATTAGTGATATTTAACTTTAAATTTAAGTTCAATGGTATTAAATTGATTGATTTTTTAAAATTTTATGTTAAATTTTCAATTGACAATTTTATTCAAGTGATTAGACCGGTGATCTATATATATATATATATATATATATAAAATTAACCACTAAACCACAACTATATACTTATTAAGATTTATGGGTATGAAAAAAAAATATTTATCTTTTTAAATGACATAATTTATATCATTTCACTCTTATAAAGAGGTGAGATCCACACCTTTATTTTTTTTGTCAACTCTCTCCTCTTTTATGTATCTCTTTCTCTCTCTTTAAATGACATAACTTTACCTCTTTTACAATGAAACACATTTTTTCCGTGAAAAAATAATAAAAGAATTTCTTTCTTTCTTTCTACACTCTTGGAGGAAAGTAGTAAAACAAGACTTAATAGAGTGATATACATTGACGGATGGTGTGCCTAAGAACGGAATGGAGAAGAGGTATAAGCATGGTGGAGGATTAGATCCGTTGTTATTTCTATGTTCCAAATAGTCCATTTTTAGTCTTTTTCCTCTTTATTTCCCTCTCTTCTTCTTTTTCCTTTTTTTTTATTACTTTTATATATATATATATATATATATATATATATATATATGAGGTAGGATCCTTTGACATCAGTGTCAAATTTTAAATTTGACACCTCATCTGAGAGCTGTTAGATCAAAAAAGATCAACGACTCTGATTTGTAAGCATATGACATCATTGATCTTTTTTGATCTAACAGCTCTAAAATAAGGTGTCAAATTTGAAATTTGACACTGGTGTTAAAGGATCTTACATATATATATATATATATATATATATATATATATATATTATTACTATTTTATTTTATTTTATTTTTTAATTTTATCTTTTTTCAACATTTTGATATCTTTTATTTGAGTTTATCTATCCCGATCCCAATTAATTTGAGATAAAAATGTAATTGACGTTGATATTGTTACACTCTTGATCATATCCCATCACGTGACAAGATTTTTATTTTTTTTAAAAATGACATATTTTCATCCTTATTCATGAAATCTACATAACATAAATCTTGGTTATTTTTTATTTTTTATAATCAAAATCAATGATTTTCGCCCCTCAAAGTTATGTTGAACAATAATTGTTTATAGTACAGTAAAGATAACACAATATATCAATATCAATTGTTGGTTGGTAGTGGCAAATCATATTCCAGGCTTGCAACGGCAACTTGGCTGACTAAAAAAACGCATTCCCTCCACCAAAATCTTGTCAAAGTCTTATCCGTTCTATCATGAACCCATTGGAATCTCGAAACAGTGACCAGGTTCCGCTGTTTTCATTTGCCTTTTCCCACTTCCTCTTTGACGCCTCAACCTTCTTTTTAATTAAACAACCCTCCAAAAATAAAATAAATAACTGAACCTTGCTTGTTTTTTTTTTTTATTCTTGATTTTCCCTTGTTTGATTTCCAGCTTAACCCATTAAAATTAAAATGGATTTTTTACAACTTACCCAATTATAATTGTTTGCTTGAATAATTAAAGTGGAAAAATACTTTTATTAGAATATATCAAAGGTATGAGCCCCTAATGATTTGGATGGAATTCCGAATACAACACTAGTAATTTTAGAATTAATAGCCTAGCCTCCAAATGACTTGTATTTTAATTTATAAAGTTACTTTTGACCAAAAAAAAAACACTTGGAATCAAATATTCATTTCCAGTGTTTCTCCGAGAGAACAGAGGAGGTCCACACCCTACAGCCATATCTAACGCATGAATTCCAATGGATCTTATAAACATAGGGTTTTTGACCACTATAGCCTTTTTTTAATAATTAATTATCAAATTGACCCTATTTATAAACTATTTCAAAAATTTAACCTCTCCAGAAAACATAACACCAATCTGCCCCTGTTTGACCGTTGACCATGAAGCCTACCCGGATACACCCCTACCTACCCGGGTAAATTTTAAATTTTTTTACCTACCCGGGTATATTTCTTGAATCTGGAAAATGTTTGAATTATTTACCCGGGTAGAGAGGGGTGTACCCGGGTAAATAATCATAAACTGGTTGTGTGCGCCCATCCTCTTTGTGTGAACAGCAAATGAAAATCTCTAAATTGAAGGACTAACGCATGGAGAACAAAATCTGAAAACAAGTTATTGATGAAAGATATTCCACTGGATCATATGCCTGAGATTAGTGAAGCAAATAATCAAGGTTCTGCTCCAACAAAGGATGCTATTACATGTCACCAGTCAGACAATTCAAAAAAATGTTCAGAATTAGAGGTGAAGGAATTGGGCGTTGACAAGCTTGAGTTGTGGAAAACTGTAAAAGAGACAACTGAAGATGGCAAGAGGAAGATGTTGGAGAGGGTTGGCTCAGATGCTCAGAAATTGGCCATTCTTAAAATGACTCTGCAAGGTTTGAAAAAGAAACCAGAAACAAAGAAGAAAAGCAAGAAGAGAAAAGCTTGAGTTATGATTATTTACCCGGGTACACCACTCTCTACCCGGGTAAATAATTCAAACATTTTCCAGATTCAAGAAATATACCCGGGTAGGTAAATTTTTTTAAAATTTACCCGGATAGGCTTCATGGTCAACGGTCAAACATGGACAGATTGGTGTTATATTTTCTGGAGAGGTTAAATTTTTAAAATAGTTTATAAATAGGGTCAATTTAATAATTAATTATTAAAAAAAACTATAGTGGTCAAAAAGCCTATAAACATATCTCTTATATGCGATACTTACAAAGTCAGCCTGACCCATGTTATCCGCTTCGCCAATAAGCAACAAAGTGGAGCTAGATAATGCAAATCAACAATAATAATAAATTATGATATTACTTTATTTCAGATTTTTCAAAAAGCTACCATTTCCTGCATAATAAAATGTATTTTTTTTTCATATTTTTTTTAAAAAATTTATTTAGTACAAAACTTTTTAATCATTTTTCTTAATTAAAAACCGTTTTTTCTTAAAAAAGTATAAATAACTATTCACTTCTAATTCGATTCTTATTCAAATTCAATTTTAGAGTACAGACAACGAGGACACAACTTGCAAGTGATAATTTAAAAAAGACATATATTTCTTTTTTTAGCAGATGTATGAATAGTTTAAAGTATAAGATAAGATTTGTTCAAGATACGCTCTAAATACTGACCAAGTGACCACGGTTCCATTGCCATTCGCCACCTATCTCATCTCATCACGCGAGCCATGATGTGTAAGGATATAAAATAATCAAAAAACACCCAAACGTATAAAATATTGTTCACCCAATTTTGGTTGATTATCTTTCCCTCTTGCAGTATGAATGTATTTCCAATATCCACATATCCACTTTAAGAAAACAAAAACAACAAGAAAAGAAAAGAAAAGATCAGAGCCCTGTCATTATATAAACTATGAAGCTTTCATTACTTTTCTAGACCCACAGGATATGCACGGTATATCCTTTTAACAAAGCTCATTCTTTAAGTTTTAACCAAAAAAATAAGAAGAGATAGATAAGTTTGGTTTTTTTGTTTTTGTTTAATACAGTTACTTAATAGTTAATACTAATAATTTTATTTAATAACAACAACATTAACAAAATAATAAAAGAAAAACTCTATGTTAAAATGTTAATTAATTAATCATCATCATCATCATGTTCTTCCTCGTGATCATGTTCTTGCAGATCTGCAAGAGAAAAGCTCCTTGACTTGAAGCTGCCTAGTCTAAGCCTCATGTGAGCAGCGTAAGATTCAGGCAATATTCTGTTGGGACGCAGCTGCTGCACTTGATCCTCTTGTTTCTTTTCATCTGTTAAGGAAGAAGAGGAAGATGAAGATGCAGAGGGAACTTTTCTAGCTTTTTCTTCTTCTTCTTCTTCTACTTCTTCTTCGTAATCATCATCATCATCATGGTCCTCATTAACAGGCAAAAGAGGCATGGATTTCGGGTTGGACCAGGAATAGAAAGATGATCTTCTGGACCACTTAGATGCAATCAGAACCCTTCTTCTCTTATTGAAAGGACTCTCTTGTTTCTTCAACTCCTTCAAGGTGCTCACTTGTGATAGATCTGTGAATGACTTCGATTTTCCATTGAAATGGCTCGACAATCCCCTCCTGCATCGCTTACCATAAAGTCCAAAACATCCCCCATCAAAATCAAAATGTTTTAAAACACACACACACACACACCAATTACAACAGGAAAAGAATTAAAAAATGTTCTTACCAAAACCTAAAATTTTACAAAAACATTTTATAATTTTTACAAACCCAAAATAGAGAGGGAGAAAGGAACTAACTTGATGGGAAGAGAGTCCTCAAGAGCATCCAAAGAACCCAACCCAGCTCGTCTCTTCAACTTGCTTTGCACTTCTTCCTCCTCCTCCTCCTCGTTGTCACTGTCATCGGGAGTTCCGATCGACGACGAATTCTCCGACTCCGACGAACCTCCGGCGAAAAACTTTAGTGGTCCGGAGATCCGGAAGTTCGATTCGTCCTCTTCCGGGTACCTGTCTACTCCGTTCAAGAAGAGACGTTCGCCGGTCTCGCCGCTCGGCGGTGGAGACGACGGAACATCGATGGTAAAAGTTGAACCCATCAAAATCTCCATTTTTTTTTCTTCTTCTTAAAATTCTTAAGAAAAATGAAGCCCCCCACAAAATGTGATGAGATTACTGATTACCCTTGTCCTCTTCGTCTTCTCCTTCTCTTGGGTTTCCAATTAATAGGGTTGCTAGTCATCAATTTGCAGACTCAGACAAGCACAATAACTGAATCAACTGTTTCCATGATATTGTAAATCATTCACTGTTCCCAAAAGAAAGACTATGTAATCAGTATGTAACTATTAAAACTTATGATGTTCTCACAGGAAGAAAGAGTGGTGGGTGAGAGAGAGTTACAGAGAAAACACCGAAAAATGAGGTGATTTGAAGAAAGCAGAAGGATATATATAAAAAAATAAAATTGGAACGGAGAAGAGAGAGAGGGGGGGGGGGGGGGGGAGAGAGAGAGAAGGAAGGGTTTGACACGTTCCAGAAGACGTGGCAACGACAGAGACCAAAAAAAAAAGATGCGTTTACCATGTATGTGTGTTTAATGTTGTTCATGATGGGGTGTCTGATACTTATCCTCATGTTTCCTTTTATTAGATCAGACGAAGCGCATGCTTCCTTATTTAGGAATTTCAATTTCGGATATTTCAATCATTTTTCTCTCTTTAATTCTAAGGGGAATAATAATATGTATAGAACGAATGATTTCCGGAGGAAAATCATTAGTTTTTTTTTTTATACACTTATGTGAATTCGTTTGACAAAAGAAAAAACAATGAATTTGTTCTCGTTAGTTTCTAAATCCTGATTTTTAAAAACATCAACTTTTAAAATTCCTTCTAAAATTAGTATAATATTAATAAAAAACGTGAAACTACATTTTTTAAGCATAGGAGGTGTTTGATAGAGAAGAAATTTTTATTTTATTCAAAAAATTTGATTTTCAGAAATTAATGAAAATATTCAGTTTATGATAATATTTAAAAATTAAAAATTTAGAAAAATTTTGTTTCCGAAAATCCTACAAAATACTTTGTAACAAACGCCCCCATAGTTCAACAGCATGGATAAGATGTATCCCATCCTAATTAACCTGAAAAATTTTAATTAAGAGAAAGGTTCAATATTTCAATGTAGGTTTTTTTCATTACGTTACTTTACAACAAATGTCAATAATTATGCCTGGGTTTTAGTAGAAAATATTTGTATTTTTTTAAATGTAATAATATACTTTATTTCAAAACTAATAAGTATAAAATATTTTATTTGAGAGAATTTCAATTTTTAACATTTAATATATTTAACAGATTATTCTTTTAACAATTAGATAGTGAATATTAAAATAAAAACTACTCTTTTTTTCTTAACTATTTGGGATATGTATTTGTATTTAATCATGGCATGAATGATTTGTATTTAATAATGGCATGTATCTCAAGGGCGGATAAGAACTAAGAAGTATTGAGTGGATCAATCATGACATGAATGATTTGTATTTAATAAAAAAAATTAAAAAAGGACTGGTTTATGTAAATAAAATTGCTCGAGGATACTCAGTAGTAATTTAAAAATTTTGAACATGGTTAATTCAACAGTAACGCTTTGAATTGAGGAGAGAAAATACAAAGAGATGAACAAATAAAAAAAAATTCGTTTTACTGCTTGGGATAAAAAAATTGAGAGCAATGAAAACGAAATGAATATTTCTTATTGTTTCGTTTTATAAAGCATGAAAAAATAAAATAAATAAAGCTTCATTTTTATCATTTTTTTTTAAATTTATTTATTCTTTTTTTATCTTCTGTTCCAAACAAAGTTCAAGAGATTATAAGACTATATGTATGTTTATTATATTTACCACCTGATTGAAGTTAATTACCTATTGTTTTCTTTACACACACACTTTGATTGTCCACCCATATTTGCCTCACGTGCATTGTAAGATGTGTTTTAAGTATTCCAAGTTCCAACCCCCCCCCCCCCCCCCCCCCCCTCCTTTATAGCCCCACCAATATCAGTTATTTTTTTCCTATTCTAAGGTATTAAATAACCTTGTTAATTATCGCACTGTTTGAAATTAGGGGGGACAATTCGGATAAACATGACACATACAAATTTAAAATTGAGTTAAAGCTTTCGAATCAAATATAACTTACTTATTTTGAGTTGACACACCACAGAATAAATAATCTAGAAATTCATAATATATAATTTGTTATGTAAGTTAACACAATAAAAGTAATGTATCAATTTCAAACTGTGTTATTTCTTATACAAATTGACACGATACGACATGATAAGATATAAATAATTTATTTATTATATGACACGATACGAATAGCCTACTAGAATATTAACGCGGGTTAATTTTGGATTCACGGATTAACATGTGACACGACACGAATTTTTTTGAATCAACTTTTACCAATACAAATTTAAAAATGAATCAATCTAAATATGAATTTTTCACGTCATGCTCATATCATATCAGTAAGTCATGTTAAAAATTATCACTCCAATTTAAAAGGACAGTTTTGCAATAATACTTGCGAGATACCATTAAAAAATGAAATAAAGAACTAGCTGTTTAAAGCAGAAATTGGCGTGGTAAAAAACTTTAATTTTAATTTACTGTCAGCATATGAATATTAATATGTTCAATCATCTATATGTTTAAACCTATTAATAATAGGGAGGAGGTAATACTGATAAACTTTTTTTCTTACAAATTACATTAATCAAACTTTAATCAAGAATGTATGATTGATCAAACTTAATGTAATTTGTAAGAAATTTTTTTTATTAATATAATCTCCCCTTTAATAATAATGTAAAAAAAATGACCTTAAAATAAATTCAATCGGAAACAAAAGATATTTTTTTGGTTGTAGATAACTCAGATTTTATTACTGGGGTGAAATGATGTGACTTTAGGGACTGAGTTTGTTGTTAGACAGATAATGCGATAATGTTTGAATTAGTCAAATTGCTTGGTGGATTAAAATTATGGTCTGTAGCGTTATATAAATGACATGGCATGTGTGTGTATATTATATATCATGTTAGCACCCTAAGTCTCAACTTGATCCAAATCATAATTAAAGCCTAATAATGAAAAGCAATTGCCCACAGATTATAGATCACACCAATAACTATGTACGATACATGCCTTTAATATTAATTTTGCAGTTGTCAATGTCCCTGCTAGTTGGCAAGTTATCCCATTATTAAATGAACTCTCTTTTTATGGGTATATGTGTTAATAAGATAAAGAGATAAGCATATTAGGTGATTGATTTAATTAAGCAACGAAGAGTGAAGACCTAGAAATGGAGTAGTACAAGGCCTCGTCAAGAGTGGGGGAATGCCTATAAATATCGAAGCTTGATTTTGGTGGACTTTGCCTTATTGGCAGACAGATATTCCAAAATAAGGGAATTTTATAATCAAATGGTTAAAAATACTGCGATGAAATCAATATATATATATATGATTGGAGAAAATGGGGTCAATGTGAGAAGCGACTAGTGGATGCTCTTCAACTAAGCTATTTGCGATTGAAGACCTACCTTATCTCTTTGGATAGAGTAATTTAATCAATCATTCACCAGATTTGGTGGCCCGGTCATCCCATCCAATAAAATCACTGTATGCTTAAGCAAACAACTTGTAATTGTAAAGCATCTCGATTGTAATGTTGTAGATAAAATTATATATACATATGGTGAATTTTATTTTTTATTTTTGCCATATATCCGCTAATTCATTAATTATTCAATTAATTCGATTCGATTATTGTCGAATTCATTATAAAAGTAATTATTTCAAAATTATTTATTTTATTCTCAAAATTCGAATTTAAGATCTTTGATTAAATAAAACAAGTTTATTGTATTCTAAATTTTGGTCATTAATTTATTGATAAAATATTCACCAAAAAAAATTATATAAAATAATTTAATTTTTAATTATGTGAACTATTATATATATTATAATTAAACATATTTCATTAATCATTATGCAAATCTTATCTGATAAGGGTTCGGAAGGATCTTTAGGAGGCGTTTGGTACAAGAGAAATTTTTTTTTGTCTGAGAATCTCGATTTTTAAAAATGTGATTTTTACATTCAGTTTATGATAATATCCAAAAATTTAAAATTTTAAAAATTTGGTTTCCCAGAAATCTGAAAAAATACCGCATACCAAACGTCCTCTTAAAGCATTTTGGAATCCAATGAACTATGCGATAAACCCAAATGATAAGGTTAGAACTGGTTCAAACTAATTAATGTTTAATATTCGTTTTCTTTCAATCTTTTAGTTTTAAGCTTTTATTTTTGGTTGTGAACCCAATATATAGTATGTTATCCTCGTTGAAAATTTATAGTAAATTAGTTTGTTTATCTTCATCTAAGTGGGCAAATAAAACTATTAGTCAAATGAGATTAGAATCCAATGTTATTGCACGTGGAATCCGCATCTTTGCAAACATAAAGGACAATATAATGGATGGGCGCTTAATTGTATTAAGATTTTTTGTTAGTGTCATGATAATAAAGAGCTTATAATTATCCTAATTAAGCATCTTACCAAATAGCAGACTGTCAATCAAATTAATAGTACATTCGCTCTATCTATCAACCAAATAAGTATTCCACGGAAGATAATCATGGTTATATGCGATGCCATAGTTATGATCGTACCTTAGTCATACTTTTGATGCCACAGTATATCCAAAGTAGAAGCATGTGCTCATCTATTTCACCGTAGGAATTTACTTGAATAATTAATGTATCTTTAATTTAATTAGAAAAAAATGCAAAATCATTCATGTCACATTTGGTGTATAAAATGATTCTATAGAATAAAATTATTTAATGAGCTAGATTGAAATAGCAATTCTTAATTTCCAGTTCAATAGTTTTTGAGATTCGATCAATGGTTTTTATATCATTTAGTTATTTAGTACATAAAATTAGTATAAAAGATAAAATTTAATTTAAATGACATATATAATCAATCCTTATGAAAAGAAACAAAGAAGTTAAGTTTTCTCATTTGTAATTTACAAATTCAATTATTTTATAACAATAATGTATACAATGATTTGGATCAAATACACAACTTTTTATAATGTTTTCTTTTTATAGTTTACATAATGATTGTGCATGGACGTACCACTATATTATTATTCTGTCAATAACTTTTTATATATTTAAAAAATGTTCGCTTTTTCTGCAGTTACTCATATAAGTTATCTGCAGTAAGCTAATACGACGTCGTTTTGGGACGGAAATCATGGTGTTTTTGTAATTTTAATTTATTTCATGGTTATAATAGTCTTTATATTTATAATTTTTTAAGATTTCAATACCAAA